TTAATCTATCTCTTGCTAATAGGTAGTCATCGAAAATTTCCTCAACTTCCTCAGCATCTTATGCTTCTTTTTTGACTTCATCTGGGATACGCAATTCAGCATCAATATGCTCCACCTCAACAGGAATCTCTCCCTGTTCCAACTCTTCGTAAGATATTTCTGCACTTCAACCAACATCATTAGTTTTATTGAAAGCCATTTAAGCTTCATTGAAAACTACATCTCGACTGGTGATACTCTTCTAGTGGCCTGGCTCTAGACATCATAGCCTGTAAGCTTTGACTCCTTTAGGGTATTCCATGAACATGCATTTCAGAGCTCTAGGTTCGACCTTGTCTTACCTAATGTGAGCATAGGATACGCAACCAAATACTCCCAGTTTGTCGAGATCTGGTGGATATCCCGACCAAACTTCTTCAGGTGTCTTCATATCTAATGCAGTCGAAGGACATATGTTTATCAGATATGTTGTTGTTGAAATAACCTCAGCCCAAAACATATTCTTTAACCCAGTACTAGTCAACATGCATCTAACTGTCTCCAAAATAGTTTGATTAAACCTTTCAGCCAGACCATTTTATTATGGAGTACTTGTAGTAGTTATTTGCCTTGCAATATTAGAGGCAACACAAAAACTATTGAAAGCCTCATTACAAAATTCAAGGCCATTGTGGGTTCTCCATCTCTTAACCTTTCTTCCAGTTTGATTTTTGACCAGAGTCTTCCAACTTTTGAAATTCTTAAAAGTGCCATCCTTAGTCTTCTAGATGAATATCCATTACTTTCTGGAATAATCATCTACTATGGATAGAAAATACCTTGCTCCTGAATGTGATGAACACCTTGCAGGCCTCCAAAGATCAGTATGGATGTAATCAAGGGGTCCATGTGTTCTTTGTTTGCCTTTGTTGAACTTCAATCTACAAGGTTTTCTAAGTACACATGGTTCATAAAACTTTATCTTTTCAACTTTGTCTCCACCAAACAAATTTTGTTTCCCTAATTCGACCAGACCCCTTTCACTGACATTCCCCAATCTCATGTGGCAAATTTCTGTCTTCAACAAAGGTTTCATGGATGCAACATTTGTCGAACCACTTACAACTTCAACCACAAGGGTATACAAGCCTTGTTTCTTCACGCCTCTTAAGAATTCCTTCGAATCCTTCATGACTCTTAGGATACTTTTTTCTCTTTGGAAAATATATCCTTTCTTGTCAAATTCACCAAGAGAAATCAAATTTCTCTTCAAATCAGGTACATACCTAACTTCAGTCAACAACTTTATTTTCTTACCACGGAGCTTAAATCTCACATATCCAACACCTGCAATCTTGCAAGCTTTATTGTTTCTCAGTAATACATATTCACCATCTTGATCATATAATTCCTCGAACAAGTCTTTGTTTTGAGTCATGTTCCAAGTGCAACTTAAATCCATAATTCGCTCCTTTCTCGATCTACTTGAAACCACGAGAACATTACATGAGTCAAAATCATCTTGAACAATAGTTATGTTGCCATTATCCTCACCTCTATGATCTTTCATGCGTTTAGGACACACTTTTCCTGTATGACCATCCTTCTTACAATGATGGCATTGAATACCAGGTGCATCACCACTATAAGACTTCGAATGACTTTTTCCCTTCTTCTTGTCGAACTTACCATCCTTTCGCAAGAATTTTTCTTTAACGACCAAACCTTCACTAGTCGTTGAAGGTTTATGCTCCTTTCGTTTGTTCAAGAGCTTAGAATACAAGACGGTTTGAACTTCTTCAAAGTTCAGGGACTCTCTTCCATACAAGAGGGTTCTTTTGAAGTGAGCATGTGATCTGGGTAAAGCATGCAACAGTAACAACGCTTGATCTTCATCCTCGATTTTGAAATTAATATTTTCAAGATCAAGAATCAGCTTATTGAATATATCCAACCTCACCGACAAGACTTGGCCTTCACTCATCTTGAATGAATACAAAGCTTGCTTCAGGTAGAGGTGATTGACCAGTAATTTAGTCATGTACAGACTTTCGAGTTTCTCCCATAGACCTGACGCAGTCGTCTCCTTAGACACTTATCAAAGAACCTTATCACCAAGGATAAATAAGATGGTGCTATGGACTTTCTATACCAAATCCATTTTTCTTTATCCTTCAACGCAACGTCCATGGTTGCGGTTCCCTTCAACGCTTCTAAACAACACTGTTGAACTAGTAAGGCTTTCATCTTCAATCGTCACAGACCGAAATTGTTCACTTCGGTGAACTTTTCAATCTCATACTTTGTTGACGACATCTTCTCTATGCTCACCACATCAATTTGTTATGAAAATGATTCATTAGAAACAAAGTATAAACAATTTCTTTATGATAAAGAAACACACAAGGATATAAAAAAATGAGAACACGAAAAACAACAAGGATTGATTATAACTGATATTCTTTACTTTATCTTTAAACAAAATTACAAGTGTTACAAGAATAACAAAGAATATCTCTCACTCTAAATCAGGATTTGCAGTATGCAGTGATGAGAGACTAGTATGCTATTTATAATAAACCAACATACTAAATTAATGGACTTTTACACACAGGCCCATTACAAGTTAACTTAGGGAACAAGTTAACTTAACAATTGGACATAAAAAAACATGCCTAATTCGTTATGCTAACAACCCTAGTATTTTCGACAACTACATGCTTGACCATACTTCGACTACAACATACACTACTTCAACACCAACATGTGAACAACCTTCGACTGCATGCTAACCTCTGTCGAACTTGTCAAACCACGAAGCTATCATTCGACTCAATAGAGTTTAGTCCAATATCTTTCACACTCGAGAATAATGTGCTCCTTATTCAAACCTCTAAGACTAAGAAAATGTTATGTTCTATTGACATGAACTATGAGAGGATGCATGCTTTTTCTAATGATTGTATTTTATTTCAAAATGAGAATGCATGATTAAATATATGTCACAAATATATTGTTTTGTTATGTAAGAAGAAATAAACAACTCCAACCAAAGTGTAATGTATTTTTGCAATAATTTAAAATTTTAGGCATGTATAAGAATACAAAAGATACAAAATACTTAATGTGGGACACTAGGGTTATTGATAGAATGATTTGATATCCTACAAATTCTTCTGAATGGAAAAAATTAATAATAGTTACTCATTTTTCGATCAAGAGGCAATAAACCCACGTCTTGCTTTGTCTATTGATGGAATAAACTTACATGGCATTCAAGACCCTTCTAAAATTCCCCCGAAAGGCTAAAGAAAATATTTTTAAAGACTTATCGAGTGTAATAATACATGGACTAATTTTTCAGCTCGAAAACATCTTTAATTTAAAGGGAGTAAAAAAATATGATTGGATAATTCGTTAAAAAATAAATGTGAGTTATAAATATTGAAAAATAAATATGGGAAAATCTCATATTGATTAGAAATGTGGATTCTTAAATATTTATAAGAGAATTCATACATCTATCACTTTAAGATTTTGGGTGAATATGTGACGTGTCTCTCACAAAACGTGTTATTAATAAAGAAATTCCCCAATGAAAAAGAATGTTCCATAGTGTTGACCCTCAAATTGATGACACAACAGTGATATCATCAGTCGTTAGTTCGAGTGAAGGACCGACTCACTTGTATCGAAAGTCCTCCTCACATAGTGGTGAATAGGAGACATGTCACATTGAAAAAGTGTCAACGATGACACAAATGTACGTAGATGATTAAATACATGTCTTGTTGAAAAAGTATTAAGAATGGTACAGACGTATGAAGATGAAAGAGCTTTTGTTTGAGGGGAAGTATTGTCGATAGACTCACACTTGATGGGGAGTGTTGAGAAAAACAAGTGTGAGTAAGTTTGGGAAAGTCTCACAGATTAAATTAAATGTACAGCAGATTACACCCTTGTTCTACAATGTAGACAAGAGCAATATGTTATAGTAAACTTGCAACGAATTACACCCCTTCTGATTTATATATTTTCTAAAACAATGATTTAACACAATCAGTTACACTTACTTGAATTATATTATTTTCTCAACATATTAAAATATATTATAATATATTTTATTTTTTAAGAAAGTCAAATAAAACAATTATACACGAGTTTCATTTTTTTATTGTAATTATTTATAAAAGACCATATATATATATATATATATATATATATATATATATATATATATATATATATATATATATATATATATATATATATATATATATATATATATATATATATATATATATATATATTTATATCTAGACTTGTTGGAGTAATAATATTTTATAAACATCCCCTTTAATAATAAGAGAATCGTAATTACCAAATCGGAAGCCTGGTTATAGTAATCATCACCAACTTAACATCTATCATCTTATTGTATGTAAAAGATGAATACTTTAGTATTTTTGAATTCATTTGCGTATCGTTATCAATATCCAATCAAATACTGTTATTATTTTATGCCATATTATATTCTTATTTAAAATTACTTTCTTTCAAAATAAATTGAAAATATACATTTTATAGTCCACCAATATTTTGCACATCGATGATAACAGTTGTAGTAAGGGCTTTGTTATAATTAGTGGACGATCTTATAACATGCATGAATGCATGCGTTGCATCTATATACATATCTATAAAGACAAACACTTAAATGCATATATAATTAACTCCTCTTGAAAGGAACTATACCTTCCAATATCTTGAAATCTCCTTATCATAAGATAAATATATACATGCAATGTGATCTTAATTTGGAGAAAAGAAAAATCTCTCCAGTACTGCCACACACTTCAAATTTCATTAGACAAACACAATTAATTGATTAACTAATTAATCCATTTTTCTATAATCAAATCCTGCCATGTAACTCTTTCTTTATTTATTTTTTTGCTTAATACTTATGATACTACTAGTATTATATATTCTCATACAAAACACCATCAAGTGTATATATATTAACAATTAAGATCAATAGTCTTCTGAGACTCACAATCATACGAAGGTAATGCAATGGTTAAGTCAAGATTCAAAGAGGATGAAGAATTATTTGTTGATGCTTCTTTCTTTGTGATAGCATCACACGATTTGTTGAAGGAGACTTTATTATTATCTTTGTTCATGGACTCGTCACATGATGATGTGCCAACAATAGAAACATGAGGATTAGTACTAGGAAAGCCTTTGTGCAACTTGTGATTATTTGGATCAATTCCCATTTTTATTAGCTTTCTACGAATATGAGAATTCCAATAGTTCTTCACCTCATTATCTGTACGTCCTGGCAATCTTCCAGCTATGAGTGCCCACCTAATATAGATACATATACATGTATAACTATATAAGTTAAATACATTATCAAAAGATGATATATTTAACATCATGTTCTTATCAAGGAGTTCCTAATTAACATTTTTTACACAAAGCTTTTTTACAAAAATATACAATTTTCATTTAAGTGAATCACTAACTTATAGTATTATAAAATCTAAAATGGTGACTAAAATTTTTTTTGCCATTCAAAATACAAAAATCGAGAGTAGTATACCGATTGCCAAGGAGAGCATGGAGTTTAATGACGAGATCCTCTTCATCTTGTGCGAAGATTCCACGTTTGATATCTGGTCGTAAGTAGTTTAACCATCTTAGTCTACAACTTTTGCCACAGCGATGCAACCCTAATCATAGTAATACATATATTATATATTTTGATATAATTTTTTTGTGTGTATGAATATTCATATAAAGTGGCTCTACGATATAACTTACTATAAAATCGTTAGATTAATAGAAAAAAATTATTTAAATAATTTTTTCTCTTTTAATCTAACGATTCTACAACTATTACAGAGAATCCAAATTCTTTTATTTTACATGTTAGAAGAATGATATTATTGTATAGTATTAGTATGAGTGAATGAGATAATGAACTAACCAGCAGCTTGAGGAATGGAACCCCAACATCCTTCACCATGAACTTGTATATAATCAATAAGCTTTTGATCTTCTTGCTTAGACCAAGCACCTTTATTGATGTTTTCTTTGTCACAACAAGGCTTTCTCATTGTTAGTTATTTTTTAGCTTAAAGCATAGAAAATGCTAAAAATTGTATATGGGTAGAGAGAGAAAGAGTACTTGTGAGAGTGGTTACAATGACAAATTTCACAAAGAAAATAGTTAGATATATATTGGTAAAGAAGGAAGATCGATGTGAGTTGACTTGGACTGGTGGTTTTGGTTTGTGTAGTTGGTGAATATTTTGTTTGTAATTTTTAGAATAGGGTTAAGAGTGTTTGGATTTTTTGGTTTACAAGATTTTCATTTGCAAACTGTTAAGTATAGGTCTTTTTCAAGCGTGTGTGTTATGATTATGGTTATGATATTGGAGATTATGGTTATTGAGTTGAATTCTATTTGGGTTGATACATTGAAATTGGTCTAGGTATAGAGACTAGAGTGCATGTACCACTAGAGTCATTAGTTGAATTGTTTTTTGTTTTTGTTTTTGAGTTTACATAAAAATGTATGATGCTTCAAAATTGGAAGGAAGCTTTGTAGTGTTTGAAGTCTTCATGTTGAATGACAATTAAATTATATGTTAATAAATTTGTTTGTTGTTAGATTTATATAACGTAAAATAAATAAATTGTAGTACTCTTTATTTAAATTGCCTCTGCTATGCATACAGAGTTGGACCCGGTATGTGATAAATGAGAGACAGCTGTAGCTAGTTTGGTACAACAAATTATAACTATTTGCAATTCTTATCTTTTATTACATTTTTTTGTCTTTAGTTGGAAACTATTAAAACTATTAGTGAGAAGCAAAGGGTAAAAACTCTTAAGAGTTTATTTTTATTTACCAATTTTTTTGGATTATCAAATAGATTTGAGAAACACTTTATATAATTTAAGTTGGAGAGATTAGGCAACATTTTGATAGAAAATAAGATTTAGTTTGAGAATTTTAAAGAATATTTTCTTGTAATTAACTCATTTTATAATCTCTTATAAAAGCTTTTGAATTATAGTTAATCAGAGAGTTGATGTCTCTCCTAAACGTGGATCGGTTGATTGAATTGGATAAATAATTTTCTTAGTGTTCTTGCTTGTTATATTTTTTTTTATTGTTTGAAATCATTTGAGTGGTTTTGATTGTTCTTTGTCTCACATATCAAAGTCTTGATGTGTTTGAATTTTAAATTATTCTATTAGTTGTTAATAATAAGTGGCAGTCATCATGGGACAAAGGGGTTAAGTTTACAAGTGAGCAATGAAGGTTCTAAATGGGGCATCAAGAATTTTTCTAAAGATAACGACTTGGGATTGTGGAATGTGAAAGATGTGAGAAAAACTAATTCAACAAAAGTATGTAGAAACATTGAAGGAAAAGGTATTGATACTTGCAAGCCTAAGCTTAGAAGACCGAGATGTGGATAAAACCAAATGTGTCATTATCATGTGCCTCAGAAAAAAAGTATTAAGAGAAATTGTGAGAGGGAAAATCTCGACTAAGATGTGCGTCAAGTTTGAATCATTATATATGACCAAACCATTGGCTCAGAGATTGTGTCTAAAACAACAACATCGTTCATTTTCTATGAGGGAGAATAAATAAATTATGGAGAAGTTGGAAGAAGTTCACCAGATCATTGATTATTTGTAAAATATTATTGTGAAAATTAAATATCACTACAAGAAAATCACCATTTAGCTGCAATTTTTTAGCGTCGACCCCGGCACTGACACTCATAGCGTTGCTATTACGGCGGGATAAGCTGACGTTAATTGAATAAAGCCATTTGTTTTATTTTTTTATTAGGACGTTGATCATAGTATCGGCCACAGCCGACGCTAAAAATTACTCTTTATAATTTTCTTTCCTTATCAATTTCGTTTGCCTCCTTATTGTTTATTGTATTAAATAATATTTATTTTTAATAGTAGTGACGGTTCGGGCCGCCGCTAGTATTAGTGTCAAATTTTCGTTTGCCTCCTTATTAACTACTTTGTTTCCCTCCTTATTAAGTACTGTGTTAAATAAATATTAATTTTTAATAGTAGGGACGGGTTGTCCGACGCTAATATTGGTGCTAAATAATTCATTTCTCTCCACCAATTTTATTTGCCTCCTTTTTATTTATTGTATTAAATAATTATTAATTTTTAATATTAGCGACGCTGTTGGCCGACGCTAATATTAGTGCCAGATATTTTCATTTTTCTCCACCAATTTCGTTTGCCTCCTTTTTATTTATTGTATTAAATAATTATTAATTTTTAATATTAGCGACGTTGTAGACCGACGCTAATATTAGTGCCTAATAATTTCATTTCCCCACCAATTTGGTTCATTTTTTATTATTTCAAATATTTGTTAATATATTATTTTTAACTATAAAAAAAAACCAATATATTAAGCTATCTAAAATTAAATTTATAAAATAATATCAATATTATAAATTAATAAATTAAAATAAAACTAACTAAAATTAAATTTATAAAACAAAGTATAAATTTTATAAAATCAAATCAAAAGTATATTAAACTCAAATTTATAAAATAAAATTAATATTATAATTTAGTAAATTAAAATTAAATTTTAATTAAATTAATAAAATTATTTAGTAAAATAAAATAAAAATAAAATAAGTAAAATATTATAAATCAGTAATTAAAATATAATCAAAATCTATTTATTAAAGTGTATTTAGTAAAAATAAAATAAAAACATAAAGTAATTAGTAAATGTAATTAGAATTGTAAAGAATAAACAAAAGAAAGAAAATCTTTTCAGCTTCTCATTGTTTCATCTCCAGCTCTTCAGCTTCTCTTTTCGATTCAGACGGAAATCGTCGTTTCAATGTTTAGCAATCGTTTCAGGTTGAAATCTTTCATTTCATTGTTTCATCATTTCATCTCCAGATTGCAATCGCGTCTCAAAATCATTTCATCATTTCATCGTTTCAGGTTGCAAGGAATCGCTTCTCAAAATCGCTTTAGGTTGCAATCGCTTCTCAAAATCGTTTCAGGTTGAAATCTTTTCATCATATTTCTTTTCAAAATCGTGTTTTCGATTCTTCATTTTAATTCTTCATTTCGATTCGTCCGTTAGATACTGATTGCTCCGATTTTGATTTTGTGTTTTGCAATTATCACTTTTTTCTGAATTGCTCTACTGTTCTACTGTGAATTTGTGAATTTAGATTCAGTAGTTAATTAGCCCTAATTCCTAAACTAATTCCTAACCTAATCTATTTTTTCTGTTAATTTTTCTGTTAATTCAATAGTTAATTATCCCTAATTCAGTACTGCCAAGACTATCACTCAGAGTCATAGAACCATGCACATTTATATAACTTTTGGTATCAAATTTGAATTAACTCACTTGCAAAATGGTTTGTGTGAAATTGAGTTTTACTATCCGTTTGTGTAAAATGGTATCAAATTTGAATTAAATCGTTTACATAATTTGTCACAGGTCCACAATCGGTTGCTCCACCACTGTGTTTCTCTTCTTCTAAATCCAATTTCAAGGTAAAATCATTATATCTCTTTTTTATATCGTAATTTACAACTATAAGCATCATGAGGATTTTGAAATTCATGATTTAGTTAAGCTTAGATTGTGTATAAGGGGTAGTATCGTACCAAGCCTCATGATTTGGTTTAGAATATGCATTAAGTGAAGTTTGGATAATTACGGTTTTGATTTGGTTTGATTTAGTTTGTGATTTTCTATTAGGTCGGTTCGATTTTGAACACCCTTCCTCCTTCTCCTCTGCGGGGAATATGATCCATGACCCCCTTATACCAGGTGTTATATAGTTGACCTCATTTTTAGTTTTTTTAAACATATATAAACTCTTCATCTTTCATGTCTGCCCAAATTTGTTTAAGTAGGATGCCATTTTGTACTACCTCCTTTAAATTATTATCCTTTCTTCCACCCCTATTTAGTACAAGTTCCTGTTTTTCTTCTTTAAAAACCAAATTTATTAAAGGGGCGTAAGAAATACCACTTAAGAACACCAAAACCAATACACTTTCACCTACTGTCATGACAGTACCTCCATCCCAAACCAATAACAACATCAGTCCACCCAACATGAATCAAAACAACAACGGTCCCACTTTAAGCACCAGCCCCTAACCACGCTACATCTCTAACACTCATTGTTGTAGGTCCCTCATTAGTTCCCTGTTGAGTGCTCAATGAAGACTTAAAGATGCCTTATTAAACATGAGTTTTCCCTTACTGAATTGGTTCCCTGTTGAGTGCAAACATAAAGATGCAAGGAAATTAACTCAGTCCAGTTAGAGATCAATGAAGCAGAAATTTGACTAGAAAAGGAATTATCTGATAATCCTAGATCTGAAAGTTTGGTCAAATTTGCTAATGACAAAGGCAAAGAACCTGTTAGATTATTCTGTACTAAGCTCAAGAAAGTTAGATTTGTGCATAGTCCAAGCTCAGAAGGGACTTTAGAGTTTAAAAAATTAACACTGAGATCAAGATGCACTAGCTCCTTTAGTTGACCTATGGAAGAAGGAATTTCCCCATGGGCTGAAATGGTGTTCAGTGATAGATAAATCAAAACCAATAAATTAAAAAAAATAGGTTAGTCTTGATCAATCAAAGTTGTACTAACAGAAAACATTATTTACCCTTTATTAATCAGGTGTCACAAGTGAGGCGATGAGAATGAAGGAAACATAATCTTATCTTTGTAGTTGGGAATAACCTCAATCAATTTCTTGAGTTGTGACATCAATATTGCTCTATATTATTTTGTATCTCCATACAATGCTAACTGTTCATTCTCTCTGCATTTTATGAATAAGCTCACTAAGATTCTACTGTAAATCATAAGTAGAGTTCAAGCAAAACTCATCAAAGAACGATCTATCATCTACAAAAGCAGTTGAAAACAATTCCTATGAACTGTGATTTAGGCGCAAGAGCTCATATTAATTAAGATTACTAGGGAAATAGATTACTGATTTACATCACCATGCCTCCATCAATGGTGAAAACCTGTAACCCAGTAATCATATTATAAAA